GAAAACTGGGTAAACGACGACCAAGGGGCCCCCCCCCCGCCCACGTGGGTGCATCCCCGGGGCTCGAATCCCACTAGGAAGTAAGTAGATTTCTCCAAGGTCTTCTTTGTTGCACTACTTAGAGCGGTTTATCACTAGGAGAAAAGGCGATTATCAGCGAGAAAAATGGGAGCATTGGATAACAAATACACAAAGCCTAAAAACACAGTAGGTGAGGAAATCGACTTCATCAGGACTTACGACTTGTTGCTCGATGAGAAAAGTCCGCCAGTACCCGGCTTTTTCAAACGTTTCAGATACTTCTCCACAACCAACGCAAGTGGGCGTTCGTAGATTAGAGACCGAAGTTGCTTTTGCAAGTGGTCCACAATGAACTGCGAGTATAAGATGGTGAACAACAAAAAGGTATATTACACCTCGTGCCCGAATAGCCTCTAGAAGAGAAGCCATGTTTATTTGCCCATAGGCGAGAAATTTCCTTGTACATGAGACACCACTTGGTTTTGTGAGAAATATGAGCCCGTGGGTACCGATATGGTTAATCTGACTGGTGTTCTGTGGGTTGTAAACGTCACACAAACCTTTGAAAACCTTTCCCATTGTGTTGTTAGGGACAACACAGACTGACTGAAGGGGGACTTTTCGATATCCCACCAGCAAACGCATATGTTGATATGTACACATATACATAAGTGCGTATATAATATATATATATATATATCTTGAAGACAGAACAAAATCGACAAAATGTTACGGTCTCAGTCACAGTGATGTTCCATAGTCAGAGATCAAACTGTGGTCAGTTTATTTCCATAAAGGAAACTACTCACAAGGTTGCTGAAAACTCTTTGACAGCCCACGTGGTCAGTTTACTACAACAGAAGGCACAGGGATCGCGCGAACCCTATTCTTTCAGGACCATGAAACGGGGGTGAAAGTTGGAATGGTCCCCACACTGTGCGGAATACGTCATTCTATATTATAGGAAAAGATAAATCTACCAGAACTATAGAACAACTATCCGCCAAGTTCGTATATCACGCATCTACCAAAATGCCTCAAACGCAAACCAGAAACGTGTGATATCCGTAGTGTTTACAATCGATAAATTTCTAAAACGTTTTACTGTCACAAGGTGATTGGTTCCAACACGCGATTTCGAGTCGTTAGGGCTGAGGTTTGTTACCGTTGTGGCCGACGCTATTTGGACAGATATTCACACAGCACCGCAGCTGTGCCGCTCTGGTATCCTAATCGTTCCCACTCTACACCTGACGCATACAAAGAAATAGGAACTCACCTTATTTTTATGAGCCAAGTCGGCCTTGACGGTTTGTAAAGCTGGAACCGAAGCGATGTCAGATTTCAGGAGCTCCGCTGTGTACAACATAAGCTCCGTTGCGTCTGGCCAGGCACGAGCACTAACAAGTGTGGCAATGGCGTCCGGGGCGGCCTGCAACTGGTCCAGAATGTCCAAAAGCTCGATGCTGTGTCGCTGTTCTACCAGTTCTAGCCACAAACGTCGCAGTTCCTCCCGATTGCAGTGCAACAAACTTTTACATTCGATCAAATCGCTCTTGATCTTACTCACCGCAGCCATGTTGGCTAGATCACGCAAAAATTTATTCGAGATTAGGTTTGTTTATCTGCTTACCGGAAACGCGCTCGGAGACTTGGTTGTAAATATTCAAAACTTTGGTCACGTCGTCAAACTTTTCTAGCGGAAAAATGAAGGATGATCACCAGAAACAGAATGGCGCCAACGAACCTGTTAGGCATGTGTTCAGAACCGTTCCGGTCTCAGTGAAGTCCGTTTCAAGCTGAAGCTTTTTCTTCTCACGGATGTCCTTGGAACTACTGGGAAAGAACGAGAAGTGAGCAAGTGTCTCACAAGCTTACTGTTCCATAAGACTCCGGATGAATGACATCAAGTAGGACGATTGAGTCTTGAGAGATGTTAGGTCACAGCAAACGCGGACATCTTACCATTTTGTCTTGACGGACTTTGTGACAGCGTACAGTTTCAGTAAGCCGGCGCGATATGAACTTCGAACTGAAAGTGCGAGACAGAAGAAATTTTTATCCAGAAGGAAAGCGATCGTGTGCAAACTCATCCGTACCCTGTTCAGCAAACAAGATTGTAACTGAAAACTGCAGGATTTGAATGAGGTTAGAAAGGATCGGCTGGAACATTTGGTCATTGTTTTGACCATGAAAAAGGTAGAAGCTTGATATCCCCGTGTAACAGGGACGGTGAGTAAAAACCGACACATGTAGGTTTAACTCTACATATGAGGGGAACGCACTTGACCAATTAACCTACATTATGAGACAGGACGAAGTGCCACCGGAGTCGGAAAGGCGCAAGCAGAGGTGGCCAACCTTTGACCCGGCAGAGAGCATGAAGCAAATTACGAAACGTCTGGGTACTGTCGTTGTGACTCGCCCTCTGGGATTGGATCCGCATGATTCCCCGGTATATAGCTGGAAGCGCTGCAAGAGACGGCTGGTAATCAATATCAACAGCCTCCTAGTTGTCCGTTTACATCCGGTGTCTGAACGAGTGCATGGAAGTGTAGATACTTCGGAATGGTCCTGGTCGGGTAGCATTGCAATTCCATTCTCTTCTTCACAATAGAGCTTCCAAATAAATTATAACTGTATTGGACACTGTCGATGATGATGGGCTCGGTAGTCTTCATCAGCAACTTCGAGAAAGTTCCGTAAACTTGCCCACTCTACTAATGCATCCTTCGTGGACTTCACAAAAAGCTTTGACTCTGTCAATTGCAAAGTACTGCTGGTAGGACCTGCTGATTACGGCTGATCGCCAACAATTGCGAACCCGTTCGAAGCCTACATAGTGGAATGAGGGAAAAGGAGTGACAGCCGCCGGCAGGTTGGCCACGGCATCATCATTATGAACTAACCAACAGTGAGTGGATTTTCCAACAGTGCTCCATGCATCGAGATTGGGACGAATTTCGTCAGCTAATCCGCAAATGTCTGCAAACTCATCATCATTTTGCCTGTTGACCTAACTGTGGGCCACGAACTGAGATCTCTAGTTACAATGACTTGTGTTGCTTCCAACAGACTTGAAAAAACGGGAATGAAAAACCAAAGCTTGCGGCCCAAAACCGAACCACGCGCCTACAGACTTATGGTTCTGTGTATCTATTGGTGTGACAATGAAGTATTAACCAAATCTTGGTGCGACACTCCATGATTTCTAAGCTTTCCTTGCTAGGTGGAGGGCACTGCGACGCAATGGAGGCGGTGCTCCAGCGCGATTGTCCATGGCGCTGGGGTGTCCGCCAAACGGAGGCGACCGTGAAAAACCTGTACGGACAAGCAGATATAAAAACGGAATCCTAGGGGTGCTGCTGACAGCCGTGGTCTAGCAACACCGCTCTCGTGATATGGAAGCAGACAATGAATACAGAACGATAAAGATAATATGAGCTGGCGTCCGTCACTTCAGTGACCGATTGATTTGAAGCAAAATTGATCGGCGAAAGACTGAATAAGTTCATAGGAGTTATTACACTAGACGAGAGACGTAGCGAGAGATGTGTCGCAGAAAATACTACCACGTCTGCACTATTGGTCTCATTTATTGGGCCATCAGTGGAAAGGGCTATATACTGGCGAAGCGTCTGTAAATGAATTCTACTGAACCGGCCACTCTCCGTGGATGTCAGATAGCGCCGTATAAACTGAAATGGACCGAACCATGGCTAGTCATGGTACAATATACGAGTGACTCAGTCGGACTCCTCGACGATGCAGGCCACCAGTTCACTCGAAACAAACGCAAAAAAATTGTTTAACTGTAGCACCCTTTCGGCGCCTAACTGCCATGCCACCAGAAGGATGCCCGAGAGCTGGGATACTGCGCTACTGATGTACGAAAATGATTGAAAAGGAATCACCTATTTGGAAAGAATTAGTCTTGAATGCAAGTACCTCAAATTATTTAGAATGAAGAAATATCAGCCCAAGTGTTTAACTGACACTTGCAGAATTCAATCACATTCACTTAGTGATGTCAGAACCAGGCTATTCAACAAGCCTGAAAAGCGTCCCGATGTAACGCCCAGCGTGTCACCCGAAAATGACGGCATCTCTTGAAAATGAACCCTACAGTCATCTTGGAGTGACCATCATCCAACTATGCCTTCAGTATTGCCGAGATAACCTCAAGGCAGTCTCTCTTGATTGCAAGTCCCAGTGAGGTAAAACGCGTCTGTTGGCCTGCAATGTAGCTTGGGCGACCTGGCAGTACCCCAGCCCTCCCTCGTCCTTCGTGTGGCATGGCAGCTAGGCACCGAAAGGGTGCTACAGCTGGACGGTTATTATTTTATTTATTTATTTTACTGTGGCTAACGGAATTTCGTGCAGTTGTGTCCCTAGAAAGAACTCAGGTATTCAATGTATAATTGACGCGGACCTCATCCAGGAAATACTGCTATAATCGTGAAAACGGTCCTACTGTTTGTATTTATTTATTTTACTGTGGCTAACGGAATTTCGTGCAGTTGTGTCCCTAGAAAGAACTCAGGTATTCAATGTATAATTGACGCGGACCTCATCCAGGAAATACTGCTATAATCGTGAAAACGGTCCTACTGTTTGTGAGCCAAAACTAATCTTGGGGATGGTCATCTACCACGGTGTTTTCCTACCAATTATGCACCACTTCAGGGAACCCTCAAACGAGTTACTGACCAAGGATTTTGGGTGGGGTTAATCAAACGAATGTCAGCCTGCAATAGAACCAATATACACTGCCATAACAGCGGTTGTTTGTGCTATGGTTTTCCAGAACCTGTAACTATCAACATGGTTCATGATACCACCAAAAGTGACAACGTACTGAGGAAGGCTAAGCAGCGCCGCCAATCTAACTGACCAATAACTTCAACAACTTTCTCATCAACGAAATTCGGCACCTGGTATCAATGACCCTCTTTCTCGATAGCCGAGTGGTGTTTCCACAACGCTTTTCCATTGAGTCCACGCTTAATTTCATAATGGACATCCGAGGATAGGCAGTAAGACGACATTGACTCACAGCTATGGGGCAAACATATAGAGAGAGCAAATCAGTGCTGCATCCACCAAGAATTTCCGGAACCAACACAAGCCAACGATTTTAGCGAATGCATGTGAATTTCGTCGGGCCACTTAACTGGCAAAGCTTCCTCATCGTTTAGTTGCCCTAAGTGGACTGATACTGTCGTTATGCCTGAGACAACGTGACGACAGCTAATACAAAAATGCAGTATGCTTTCTGCAATTAAAGTCCCATAAACCAATGTGTCCAAAAACGGTAGTCAATTCACGTCCTACAATTCCGTTAACTCTTCCGAAGGTCCGGTATCACCCATATTACTTACCCACCATTCTGTGTACAACCTAAGGCCAGCTGAAGTATCTGTAGACACCTTTGAGGGTGCCTTGGCAGGAGCCAAGGGAAAGGGACTACGGCACTTTGGTTGTTGAGACCGCCTGCCGGCTCCTTCATCTCCGGTTTCAATTGCGCAGCGGCCCAGGACGAAGCACCTTCAAACATCCTGGAAAACAGAAGCCGATGCCCTTCTCGAAGCCCTCCTCAGAAAGAGTAGCGACAACAGTTTTCGGGAGGCCATTCCAGTTATTTACAATGTGGGTGGTTACTGAAACAAGAGAACGCATCCGTCGTCTCCTCGGTTTGGACAACTTCAACTGTGTCACGTGACATCCGATCCATTGCGTGACAAACAAAAGAGTTGCAGTTCTTCCCCTGAATTGCTGGTCGAAATCCCACAGGTATAGATCATGATCTTTCAGTGAGGCATTTACTACATGGAGAGCACAATGAGCTGGACAAACGTTGTAACTCAGGCAGTCATGGAAGTCCTTACATGAGTAGCCGCCTAACGGGAAAGCTGCAGGCAGACCATTGGTTGGGTGTGTGGCAGCCAGAAGCAAAGAGGAGTCAATCGGAGGAGCTTCTCATCGTCCACAACATCCTCAAAGCCGCACTCTTTTCAGTGTCCAGGACCGATCATCAGGTCAGAGATAATGATACCAAGATCAGTCTAAAGCATATCAGTAAATAGATTACCATTAATGTGACAGACACTAAAATTTTTCTGACGGCCGACGGGAAGGAAAACCAACTTCTCCGAATCAACTGGTAGCTTCCATTTTTCAAACCATTATTACAGTAGGCTAGCCCTAGACTCCCCTCCTGACCCCATTTGTTGCTTCTTTTCATTATAGTTTTATTCGAATAAACTGACATGGTTGTACTGCGGTGAAACACCAGTGTTCTCATCTGGTTTTGCTGTCAGTGATATTGATGAACCCATGCTAGATGCACTGAAATACTCAAAGATTAGGAAAGCATCTTCCACCATAGCTCCTGGGTTGCTCAAACACTTGGAATCCCCGTGAGGAGGGAGACTTTTGGAAACCATAACAGTGATGCAAAGCGTCCCGTAGCCAACGTAGCAACAAGATTGGGCACCATCGTTCGAATCCCCGAAGAACCCTAATACGTAGAATCGTAGTGAGTCTTGCTGGAATATGGCACATTGCCATTCGTCTTGCTTCCACTCTGAGCGGCACGATCGCCGTGCAACCTGGAATGTTTATTTCAGCATCCAAGATTCCGCTTGAGCCAAGTTTCAGTGAGGCTGCCTTCCTTGAAATCGGGGATACGTTATTAGTTTCATTCTTAATATTTCGGGTATTGTTGAAATCACCTTAATCCTCCGACTGAATGCTGATAGCTTAGTACAACAGTCGGGTTTCAGAAATCTCTTGATATCTTCTTCACTACTCGAAAATCCACAATTTTAATAAGTTTTGTCGTCAGCTTAGCCATTTTCATTCTCACACGTATTCATGACTCAAATCATAGAAACCATGAATGGTTCAGAAGTAGGCACGGTCTGACGCACAGCTGTGTCCCTTCTCTGGTTGTAGAGC